AATAGTAGTTAAAAATGCTATAAAAGGAGTTCCATTTGTTCTCTAGATCATTTTCACTAAACACCTCAGTCCAATTTTCAGTTTGTATAAAAGAACAAAAACAGGTTATACTGTCATCTGATAAATCCCTAACCTCTTTATAACAACTTATTTGTAGTGGTACAGTCATAGTAATAGTTATACATTGTGCATAATGATCTGAAAGTAGGCTATTTATAACATTAGTGTAATAGCAATTAGCAGGTATATTAGTAATGATTTGATCTATGATTCTTGCCCTACTCTCTGTTACTTGAGTGGGAATATTTATTGTCATAGTCATGTTATAAGCATTAATGATATCTAATAATTGCTTATGACCACATCCATTTTCCTGGGTATTTATACTTAAGTCTCCAACAAGAATGATGTAACGATCTTTCTGAACAAGCTGCTCCAGTATATCTATTAGTAGGTTAAAAAATTCATACATTCCACCACTTGGTGATCTATATAATGCTATAATTATAAGTTTTATCTTGTCAAATGTTATTTCTATACCAGTAACCTCAAGAGTTTTTTCTATACGTTTTCCTGTAAACAAATTCAGGGTTTACTTTGCACCATATTACTGGTACTGTAAATAGCTATTCCTCCACCTTTATATTTTGTCCTGTAAAAATATGAGACTAGAGTATAACCTTCAAACATATATTGAGGGATTTCATCCTCTTTGAGACCATGTTCAGAAATGGCTAATATATCAGGGGTAGTACTTTGGAGAAATTCAGTAAATAGTACAGTTTTATTACTAAGATATTGAGCATTTTGATGTATTATTTTCAAATTATGCATTGGCTTGACTTCCCCAATTGGGAATGACTGGAACCCTAGGGATCCAGTCTTCATTGTTAGTTTCCCTGATTTAGATCACCTAGACCTATTACATTTAGTTGGTTCTTTTCATTATTAACTATTATTCTACTTATTTCTTGAGTAATATATTCTTTACCTAATCTGTTTAGGTGCTGCCCATGCCTTGTGTGATAGTCTCTGCTTGTATTACTTATATCCAATACTTTAACGTTTCTGAATCTTTACACACCTTGTTTCTGTCCATATTTGCTTTCCTTATTTACTACTGATTCTTTTATTAAATCATGCCTAATCAGTATACTGAGAACAACATAACTTAACCTAAATAGTAATCTAGTGCAGGGGTCTCCAAACTTTTTGAAACGCGGGCCACATTAGGTAATTCAGCACTTTCAACGGGCCAGATAAAATAAGAAATTAATAACTCTAGGTATACAAGTTTTATTGAAAGCACAGAATTTCATAACTAAATACAAAGTACGTGAGAATAAATTATCATATATTAATGACAACAGACAGTAGCAGCAAATGCTCATATTTTCATCACAAATTATAATAAAACAATTAATGGGAATGATGGAACTCTTTTTGCATTCTTAAAATCTGATTAAATTGAGGTTCAAATTTTGAAAAGCTAATCACAAGTAGCAACTTTAAATGTTCATCGGATAAATTTTGCCCTGTATTTTGACTTCATCTTGGAAAAAGTTTGTTCACACAGATATGTCGTTCCAAAAATAGAGATAGATTTACAAGCAAATTTCTTTAAATTTCGAAATTGCTAAGAGTTCAGAAATTTATAAAATTCAATCAAATTTCCTTCCTTCTATTTGTCTTTAATATGATGATTTTCCTGAAGTTCAATAATTTCCATTTGAATTTGACTTGGGACATCTGCAGCATCACAGTCAAACGGATTTTGAAACAATCTAATTTCCTGAGCACTGGCATCCAAATCAGCAAATTGCTTCCGAAATTGTTCTTTCAAATCTGAAATG